CCTTCGGGGCGGCGCCCCTGGAGGTGGCGGCGGCGGCCACGACGACGTCGACGTCGTCGCTACAGGCTCTTGGGCGGTTCCTGGGGCTCTCGTCGCCACGGCCAGGCGCGGCCCGACAAATTGGCCAGGGTTGGCATGCGCGTGCCGCCGCACGCGCTTGACTCAACTGCTGGGGCACGCGCCGCGTGCGCGCGCGCGCTGCCACGTCGTCTCTCAACGTCAAGGGAGGTTCCGCCCTGAGGAGCCATGTCATGAGATCCCCAGCGCTGGGAGAAGATTGAGACAAAAGCATCATATGCGTCAGGTTATCTGGGTCATCTGACCAAAAAACTCTGGGAGGCTTCTGCCGCACCTCCATCACCGCCTTCTCATTATCCCTTCTCCTCCCTCCTTGTCGTCATTCTTCCTCTTCCCCCTCGAACAGTTGCTGTGGGCTGACGCTCGCCTGAGCCTACGCTGGTACCAACGTCAGCGCATACACCAGCGCCGACACCAGCACGGACGCCAGCAACGACGCCGGAGACTACGCCGACACCCGACACCACTGCCAGCGCCTACAACACCGACGCCAGCACGAACGCGAGCCCCAACGCCGGCACCTCCTCCAGCGCCGATGCCAGCTCCGACGCCAGCATAAACGGTTGCGCCTACGCCGGCACCAACGCCGGCGCCTACACCAACAACGACGCCAGCACCGACGCCAGCACAAACGCCAGCGCGTACGCCAGCGCCAACGCCAGCAGCGACGCCAGCGTCCACGCCTGCGCCTACGCCAGCACCAGCGCCAGCACCTACAGCGCTGATGCCAGCACCGACGCCAGCACCAACGCCAGCGCCTACGCCAGCACCATCGCTGGCGCCTACACTAGACGCCAGCACCGACGCTAGAACTATCGCCGGCACCGAAGACTGCGCCGACGCCAGCACCGACGCCAGCATCAACGCTTGCGCCTACGCTGGTACCAACGCCAGCGCTTACACCAGCGCCGACGCCAGTACAGACGCCAGCACGAACGCTGGCGCCTGCACCAGCCACAGCGTCAGCGTCTACGCCCAGCACCGACGCCAACACCGGCGCCTGCTTACGCCAGCGCCGACGCCAGCGCCGACGCCAGCGTCGTCCAACAGATGCCATGTTCGACGAGTTCTGAGGACCTCGTTACTCCTGTCGTCCCTTCTCGGCGTCTCTATTTCTTTCTGTCTCGCCTCTAACTGGCATGTCTGGTGGATCGCGCTCTTTGCGTGAGTTCGTTGCTCCGCTCCCTGCTCCCCGCTGCCTTCTGGGCCCTCCATGGCTCCCGTTCGTTTTTATTGTTTTGGCTTGGCGCTTCCCCGCGCTTTTCCTGCCCCTCGTGCCCTCTCGCGCGCACTTGGGCTAGGCTGCGCGCCGGCAACCCTACCCGGGCGACAGCTGCCCGTGCGATCGCCTACTTGGAGGGGGAAGCCGTTTCGCGTGGCCTCGGCCGTCGGCCGAGGCCACGCGAAAGGAAGGGGAGAAGGGAGAAGGAGGACGAGTAAGGGAGAAGGAGGCGGAGGAGGAGGGGCAGTAGCGGGTCGGCGGGGCCAGATGCCGGTGCGGTCCTCGTGCCTCCCACTGGTGCCCCTGCGCAGGTGGATCCTGAGGCGGAGACAGTCCCGGGCCTCCCTGGATTCCCCGCCGAGTCTGCCATGGCCCCTGGCCGTGCGCCGGCCGAGCCAGCAGCGGTCCCCGTGCCGCCGCCGGTCTTTGGGGCCTTCCTGAACACCGCTGCTCTGCCCTCGTCCAGCTCGTCGTCGTCGTCGTCGGCGGCGCCTGGCTCCCCTCTGTCACCGGCGCCTCCGACTTCGCCTGGCGCCCCGCACTGTAGCGGCGACGCGGAAGGCAGCGAGGGGCCTCTCAGCTCCCTGCTGGCGGCGGCAGCTGCGCGCACTTCGCCCTCGCACCCTGGCGTCTGCAACTCGGCCTACTCGCCGGCGCTCCTGGCTGCGGTCGGCCTCCTACCGGCAGAGACCTTGGCAGGCTGGCTCGCCCATGCATCCATGGGCCCGCCCTTCGCAGGCCTGGTGCAAGAGCTCGCGGGTGCATCGGCGGTGCCCTCCTCGGATCTCGTCTTTGCTCTGCAGTCCTTGGCTGCCGCCGCGCCCGGGCACGCAGCGCCTGCGGCCTTGGCGGCCGCTGCCCTCTGCGGGCGGCTGGGGCGCCCCGTGGGCCTTGCGGAGGCGGTCCACACCCTCCTGCTCGGGGCCAACTACCTGGACCCCTTGGTCGCCGAGGCCTTGGTGGCGGTGTACGGGGGCTCCGCACTGGGTGCCGCTGCCGCCCTCCGTGCCGCAAGCCTGCGCTGGGCTGCGGGCGCAACGGGCGGTAGCTCGGGCGGTCTGCGGGGGCCAGCCCGGGCCTGGCACCAGCGTCGCAGGCCACTCCCCCGTGGCGCAGTCCGCCCGCCGCCCCTCCGCCTCTGGGCGGCCCCGCTGCGTCCTCCGCTGGCTCGCCGCCTGCGTCGCAGGGGATGCCCGCGCCCCAGCCTCTTCCGCCTGCGCCGGCCAGTTCCGGGTGGCCGTGCGGCCCGCCCCCGTCGTTGGGCCCCCCGCCGGCGGCGCCCGTGCTGCCTTCACCTCCGCTGTCCCCCTCGTCCGCCTGCTCCTGGCGGCCCAGCGGCCCGCCCTCGTCGTCCGCCTCCTTGCCGGCGGCGCTGGCGCAGCGCCAGCCCCAGCAGCTCCCCGCGCCTTCCGGCTCTTCGCGGCGCTCGCGGCGCTACACCGGCGCTGACCCGGGTAGCGCCCGCTTCCGCCGCGGGCTCCCTGCGCGTGCTGACGGGCGCGCGCTCACGGAGCAAGAGGTCCTTCAGCTGGCTGCCGCCTGCGGGCTCTACACCGACTCCCGCCAGGCATTCTGGCTCTTTGGCACCAACGGGGCCCGGATCGGCTTGGCGCTCCGTCCGCTCGACGGCGGCGGGGTGATCAACTTTTGGCTCCTGCAAGCCAAAGTGACCGTCGCCGGCAACCCGGATGTCCGCGAGCGGCTCCTCGAAGCAGTGCTTGCGTGGACCGTCCCCTGGGCTGGGAACCAGCCGCGGCCCCACGCCGCGGCGGCGCCTCCGCCCGCGCCCGGCGCTCTGGGCGCGCCGCCCGCGCTGGCCCTCCACGCTCCTGCTGCCGCCACGGGCCTGGCCGCCGCTGCCCCTCCGACGGCTGCTGCTGCTGCCACCCCGGCCGGGGCCTCCCGCCGGCGCCGCCGCCGCCGCCTCCGCCGCTGCCGCCGCCGCCGCCGCCGTCGCCGCCGCCGCCGCTGCCGCCGCCGCCGCCGCCGTCGCCGCCGTCGCCGCCTTCGCCGTCGTCGTCGTCGTCGTCGTCGTCGTCGTCGTCGTCGTCGTCGTCGTCGTCGTCGTAGTCGTCGTCGCTGTCGTCGTCGTCGTCGTCGTCGTTGTCGTCGTCGTCGCCCTGAGGCTGCGGGGGCGCCCCCGGCCGCTGCCTCCCGCCGCCGCCGCCGCCCCCGCCTGAGCTCCTCCTGCCGCTCCAGGAGCGCAGAGCGCGGCCGCCGGCCCCGGGGCTAGCCGCGCGCGCGCCGGGAACTCGCCCCCTTTTTCCCGCCCGCGCGGGCCCTTCTGGTAAATGGGCGCTGCGTGTCCCTTGGCTGTCGTCGTCGTCGCTGTCTTCGCCGCCGCTGTCGCCGTCGTTGTCGTCTTCGTTGCCGTCGCCTTCGTCTTCGTCGCCCTCGCCGTCGTCGTCGTCGTCGCCGTTGCTTCTCGTCGGCGTCGCCCTCGTCGTCTCCTGTCGTCGCCGTCGTCCTGTCGCCCTCCCGGCTGCCCCTTCCCCGGGGCGTCTCCCCCCGCCGCCCTCCTCCCTCTCCCCTTTTCCCTCGCCTGGCTGGCGGTGGTGGAGCTGTGGCGGGGTGGGGGAGGACGACGGGGATCCCTGGTTCGATGCGGCCAGTTGGCAACGCGCGCACTAGCGCTCGCGCACAGGCGCTCCGCCATTAGGTGGCGTGGCAGGCGCGGCCCCCATGGGGGCCCCTACAACTGTCTCGCGTGAAGCGACACCCGGCCCCCCTGGGAGCGGGCGCGCGCGCCGGGCACTTGCCCCGCTGCCAGCGCCCTACCCGGGACGGCGCATGCCTGCCCTTTTCCCGGGGTTTCGGCCCCAACGCGCCCCACTTGGGTGCGCTTCAACCAGAACCAGAACCAGGAGGAGGAGGAGGAGGAGGAGGAGGAGGAGGAGGAGGAGGAGGGGCAGGAGCAGGAGCAGGAGGAGGAGGAGGAGGAAGAGGAGGGGGAGGAGGAGGAGGAGGAGGAGGAGGGAGGAGGAGGAGGAGGAGAGGAGGAGGAGGAGGAGGAGGAGGAGGAGGAGGAGGAGGAGGAGGAGGAAAGGAGGGGGAGGGGGAGGAGGAGGAGGAGGAGGAGGAGGAGGAGGAGGAGGAGGAGGGGGAGGAGGAGGGAGGAGGGATTACCATACATTCGTCACGTCTAGTCTACCTTGCTATCCTGCACCGTCCTCTTCTTTGCTCAAGCTTTTGCATCTGGCCTGCCATTGGAGTCTCGTGCCGTGATTTGGCGTCCGTTCCGCTCCATCCGCTCTTCCCTCCTCGTTGTCTTCCGCGTCCTCTCGCTGTCCCGCTGGTTTCCTTGTTGGTGTACGCATCTGCTCGCGTGGGCCCACTGCGCGGGTGTCGTCCAAACGGACTGGTCTGCGCGCGCGCGAGTGCACGGCTACATAATACCCGTTCTGTATGCCTCTTATCTATGCCCTTTGTTTCCTCTCCTCTTTTCGCTCTTCCTCCTCCCCCCCCGCTGCCGTTGCGTGGGTTATAGAAAGGGCCGGTGGGGCCAGGTGCTCCCGCCCACAACGCCGTGGTGTCTTTTTCCTAGCCCGCGCCCTCCTCCGGTTTGCTCCTCGCTCCTGTTGCTCGGCGGCGCGTTTCATTAGGAACCGCGGGCACGAGGCCTGCTTAGCGCTGTCGTGTGTAGGGGCAATTTGCAGTGGCGGTGCGAATCCTTTCGCTGTGCTGGCTGAGGCGTGATAACGCATGGTGGGGCTGCGTTCCATGGGCCCCCCAAAAAAACAAGCACAAAAACAGCATTGACAAAAAACTGTGGGCTGACGCTCGCTTCGCAGGCGCCCCCGGGACTTGCCGCCGCGGGCCCGATGTCGGGGACGAAGGGCGCCCACCCTGCGGCTCTGGAGATGGCGCGCGGCGCCCTCCTGGCACCCAGCGGCTGGCCCCGGTCGGTGCACGGAGATGCGCGAAGCCTCGCGCACGGTGCGTTCGGCCGAGGGCGTGCAGCGTGCAGGTGAAGCCCTCCCCTCCCGCGCCGCCCGCGCCGCCCCGGGCGTCTGCCGCTGCTGCCCCTGAGGGCCGCCCCGTGGCCTCGGTGGCAGTGCGGGCGAGGTGCACACAGGGCTTGACCTAAACGCTGTTTTGCTGGACTTCGGCTGTGCGTTGTGTTTCGTTGTGGCAGGGAGGTGCAGGAAAACGGGTAATTACAGCAAGACGAAGAACAAAACGAAGGAACATAACGAATCACAACGTTTAGGTCCAGCCCTGTGCACGTGTGGCCGCGTGCCTTTCCAGTTGTCGGCCCTCGCGCTGCCAGGTACACCGGTCATCGGAATGGGAATCCAACAAGTGGTTTCCATGTGTTCCACATGCGAACCCAACCGCACATTTTCGTCAGATTCTTGGTAGGCAGGGGGAGGGACCTGGGCGAGCACGGCGCTGCCACGGACGGCACGCAGATGGAGATATGGCGAGCTGGGCGGCAGGGGGCGGGGCACACGGGGTTGCCGGTGGGCCCGTGCCGATGCTGGAGGACGACGCCTGGGCTGGTGAGCTGCCGCTGGTGCGGAGGCGATGCTCGGCGGCGATCAAGGGGGGGGAACGTGAGAAGGAGAAGGCCTTTTCAGAAGGCGGCGGAGCTCCTGAGGCCTTCTGAGGGGTTCGCCCGCGTCTTCGGAGGAAGCTCAGAAGACTTTTCGGCAAGCTGGTGGAATTCGTGAGCCTTCTGCGGAGGCCCGTTCCTTCCCGCCTCCCCCCCGGGCTTCGAAGACGACAGCTACGGACTCGACTCTGACGAAAACGGTCGATACGTTGAACTGTGTTTTTCGACAGAAATTCAAAGGTAGTCTTGTCCGAGCAGCAACACATGTTGTTAGACGTCGACCGGGTGACCACTATGTGAGTATATGCTACTGCCGCTGCAAAGCGAGCCGTGGTCGTCAAGGAAGACGACCTCCTCGCCAAAGCTGACAGTCAGGCGAATCCCGAGAAAATATCGAAGGCCTTTTTTTGTCAGTGAGCTCAAGACATGGTTCGACAATAGATGCTTCAAAATGCAGGAGATCGCCAAAACGTCGAACATCATGACTTCGAGATATGTATGCACATTGAAATTCGTATAACAACGGAAATGTGAGATGGAACGTACCATCCGACTTCGCGTGGTACTTCGAGGCTTCATGGACCTTGAAGTTTTCGACGTAGAAACATGTTCGGGAACAGCCAGAAGGTCAAGCCAGAGGTTACTTGCCAGCACAGCGGCGTGGAATAAGCAGTGGGCATTGCTTCCCTGGACATCAACATGGCCTTCCTGAAGGGATTGACCCATCGGGAACTCGCTGGGGCAACTGGTGAAAAAGAACGCGTGGCGTGCTTTACCTTGCCGCCTGGATCGGCAACTGCTCTCCGCACTCTTCCAGGATTTCAGGACTTCGACGAGTCAAAACACTGTTTGCAGTGCTGGAAACCGGGCACAGGCACTAAGGGCGCCCCACGGGCTTTCTCACTCAAGCTCAGGAGAACCACCAGAGGATTCGGCCTCCGACCTACGTCTTACGACGAGGAGTTCGAGGCGAGCAGCAACCTGCTGACGGCCAAGCATGTTGATGACATTAACATGGCCGATACTGAGGACACTATTGACAAGTATGTCAATTTCGTTGAGGATGCCTTTGGTAAGTGTAAACTCAACAAGCACACATACACGCACTGTGCTGTGAGATATACCAAGGATGAGGACGGCAATGTCACTTTGGATCCAGATGAGTATATATATATATATATATATATATATACCTACATATATATATATATATGTATATGTATATGTATATGTATATGTATATGTATATGTCTATGTATATGTATACATACATATATATATATGTATTGAACAGCTCCGTCCTGTACAACATCCTAAATTGACCGGTGCTGACGAGGACGCTCAAGCGACCAAGATGGTGGCAGATATGTTCGTCAGTCTCAGAGGTGCGCTGGCATACGCACTGATCATCCAGATTTGGTTGATGGTATATGTTGTATCTCTACAGCAAGCGTGACGACTGAACGCGATCACCAGAAACATACAGGCCTGCCCGCAGAAGATCGTCTACCAGGCGATGAACCCCACGGGCGAGGTCGACTTACATAGCGACTCAGGCTATCGACGCCTGAGTGGAGACGCCGACGACGGCGTCAAAAGGCTATGGCATTCGCGGGGCAAACCTGCTACGACGTGGAAACACGTCATCTGGCAATCCTGTCTTTCATTTGATTGATGCGCGCTGCAAGTCTCACCGCTTGCAAGTCCGCTCAAGCTACTCAGCAGAGACACTTACAGCAGCCCATAATTTGGAGGACTGTGATCCCACGATTGTGATTCTGCACGAGCTCCACGCGGGGCCACTCACGCCCACTCAGTTGAAAGACGTACTTGAGCTGGGTGGCCTGAGCATCAAGGTCACCTTGACCATCGATGCTGACTCTGTCTTTAAGTCCTTGTCAAGCAAAGATTTAAAGAAGCCGACTGAGTGTACCCTTGTAGGACACATAGGTTGGATACGGCAAATGATGGAGCGCGGAATCGTGCATAGCATTCAGTGGTGCGATACCCGCGACATGACTGCGGATGGACACACCAAGGGGAGCATCGACAGAGAGATGCGCCTACAAGTCATGGGAGGTATACAGACCTTCAAACATGACCTAAAAATACACACTCCATATCGGGCCTGCCAGACAAAAAGTTCCGAGGCCGCCTGATGAGTACATTGTATATGCGAGACAACTTGCTGGCGGGTCCAACTCCTTTGGACCTGTTTCTTTTCCTGTCTTTATATAGGTTACCTGCTGAATTGTTTCAGGGATACGGGTGGCGGACGCACGCTTCGTCTCCCTCCCCCCCCGACTCTAAAGGGAGCTGGGGGGCGCAAGGAGTGGAACCGAGCGTGCGCCCGCGGCCGCCTTGGCTCAAAGCGGCCGGCCGCCCAGATTTGACTGTGCCTCACCGCGAGGCACACTATCGCTATCGAGACTAAAAGGTATTCCCTCTTACTTGAGATGGCATCTCCTCTTGCATTGGGACTATCGCTACTACGATACAGCCGAGCTGGAGCTTGGTTTCGCCTGAGGCAACTGTTGGCTGGACCCCCCAGCCCCCTTTCAAACTCATGCAGCTGGTTTCGGCCCCGCCGAGGGGCCCATTCCTTGATACATAGCCGCCTCCCGCGCCGGGAGGTGGCGGGAAAATCATTTACGCGAGCTGATTCTCAAACCCCCCCTTTGCTATCCCCCCCTTCGCCCAGCCCGAACCTCTTGGTGCCTCTGTGTGGGATATTTTGCGCCTCTTAGAGCCTCTTGACTCAGGGGCAACGATAGGGGGGGATTGGCATAGGGGGGGACGCATCGACCCCCAATCGCCCACTAATCGCCGAGAGGGGCCCGATACTCCCAACCTGCACAGGAAGGTGCGGATTCACTCGTGGGGGCCTATCGCCGATTTGTCGGCGATCTATCGCCGATTCCAGGTCGATGCACCCCCCCTATGCCAGTTCCCCCCTATCATTGCCCCTCATTGACGTGAGCCCCTCGAGCTCTCGACCCCGTCACTGGGATCACTGTTCCGTCGCGGGCCGTTGTGTATTATTGCCCCGGGGTCCCGAGTGGGCTTCCGGAGGCCCCAAGCTTTGAAAAAGTCAGCCGCTACGTTTCTGTCCGAAGGGGGTCCTACCCCTGCGGTCCGCTTGGTTTTTGTTTGTCTGGCCGCTAACTGAGTCGTGGACGGTGGCTTCTGTTGGCCTGCGAGATATCATCCGGGCGCTCTCGCCGGAGCGTGAGTTGACATATTTTCTGAAAGCGAAGCTCACGCTCGAGCGCGGGCTTCATTCAGAATGTGGAGCACTCGTGGCCCAATTGCTGTAACAACGCCTCCCACTTCAAATTTCATCACCATTTGCTCAGGACCCCCGCTTTGCAGGATTCTTTCCCAATGCGCGTACTGAGGAAGCGGGCTCTCGCCTGGGACGTCATCACAATCTACTCAGGGATCGTGCCCTCAACGCGCAGGAAAATTCAGTGCTCTCACTGGAGCGCCCTGCAGGGCCCTCTGCCCGATCTGCGCGCCAGGGCCAGCCCGCCCGACCTACCCGTGAGCGTCCGCCCGCCCGACGCGCCGGTTAGGCCCCCCCTGGCCCGACTCGCCAGTCAAGGGTCCGCGCGCCCCAGCTGCCAGTGAGGGCCTTTCCGTTCGTTTGCTTGGAATCCCGCCCGCCCGCCTCAATGTCGTGCACGGGACTTTGTTTGAACCCCCCAGGGCGGCGGGTGCACATCGCAGGGGGGTTCCCGATCCGAGTCATAAGTTACGGACGGCATCGCGCGGGATTGGGAGTATGGTTCTGTTTTGTCTCCAGGTTTTACGCAGCTCAGCAGCTGAAAGAACTAGCAAATCCTTGTGTTGAACGAGTTGAGGGCAATCGGACGGATTACCTCGATCGGATTTCTTTGGGAATGTGGCCGAAGGCTTGCAGCAAAGCTGAGCTAGCCAAGAGGCAGAAATATCGTGTTTAAGCGAGCGTTTCCCGACCTAGTCGCCACATCCAGAACTCCTCCTCCTCCTCCGCCTCCTCCTCCTCCTCCTCCTCCTCCTCCTCCCACCGCTGAGGCCAAAAAGGACGCAACGAGCTCCGCTTCCACCAGCGCGCAGGCCACCACGTCCGAGCCGGCGAAGTCGTTCATGGAAGCTGCCGCGGG